TTCAACATGTAACCAAATAAATAAACATACGCCATATTCCACGACGGTGCGAGGGACATCGTAATTGGAACAATGGAACAGTAGTTTTATATGAGTTATAAGGTTAATACTTAACAGGTCGACGCATTTCGTGTGGTACCTGTCTTGGCAATGTATACAAATCAACCCTCCTTTTAGCACAAATTTGATTCGCACAAAATGTTTCGTTTCGGGTTACCGGTGTGTTGGTTATAATGGCAGATTACGGCAGAACAAGTCCACGATGGTGGACACAGACGGCAGTTGGGCCAATCAATGGTAACAGCGAAATTAGCCGGTGAACATCCACACACAGATTGTGGTAGTTAGCAGTTACTGGTTTCTAACTGATTGCTTGACACTCGTGAGTACCCGACTGCATTTTTGTTATACTTTCGCCAAACTCGTATTTTTCTGAACTGTAAAACCTTCCGTCTTCAAACGCCTAATCATCGCGATATTATTTGTGGTAAAATATCCAAACTTAAACGAAACATCGCTCTGAGACCATCTAGTCTTGCTGTGCTCACCCCAGAGGAACATCAGCATTCTGTGGGTTCTATTCAACAGATCGTAGATACAAGCGCGCAGAAGGGACGTGATGCTTTGACATGATCACTTAGACGCATGAAGCCACAGGCAACGTCCCAAAACCATCCTGAAAGTTGTGTACAAGTATACAAAATTGGTGCTTTCTCCTGAACTGCTCGTAGTGAGGTCACACGGTTCGAAATTATCTTATTCTAAAAGTAATATACATCTGCTATTGACCAAAATTAAAATATTCCAATTAAAATATTCGTTAGCACAAACGAAAGATTTATTCGCGCTATCAATTTATGCTCCTGAATGCTTCAAATCCTCGTTGGTTATTTGATGTCACCAAAAAAAAGTTTAAAAAAAACTACACAAAGTGTCACTGGCTAGTTGGTTTAAGCTAAAACAGCACATAGCCAGATGACATGAGTAAGTGCAGTGTTGAAGCAGGTCTCCGAAGGACGGTTCTTTGAAGGGTCGTATTACTTTACTTGAACTGACGGCTATATCTACTTTTATTTCAACTTACAACTGATCCATATTTTACTACTTTTAAACACTCCATTGTGAACAACAGATCCTAAAAATCCTCTCCACTAGCCGACTTTGTTGCACCAATTGATCAGACTGTTATTTTGCTTGTGTCACGCATGTCGAGAAAAATGCCGTTTATTTATTTAGTTAATATCGAAAATACCAGGCAAATCAACGCGGTCTGACTACTCGCAAATATCCGCTATCCCTACAAGATTTAAAAAAGAAAAGAAAGTTGTCATCTGCAAGCCAGATGATCGACAGAAGTAATTAGATTTCAAAAGTAAACCGGATTTCTCGAGACGAAACCAATTGTTGTGTAAAGGGGCGAGAATGATCAAACAGACAAAACGGAGCACAACCTGACGAAATGCTAGATCTACTTACCCACGGCTTTATATTTGCTAGCCTATCTGAATAGCCGAGTCCAGTCGGAACATCTGTTCCCAGAATCTATGGACTGCTAAATATTCAAAAAGGTGGTGTGCCTCTAGGCCTACTATTGTCCATGACAAACTCGACATACCATCCTACATCTCAGTGGTTGGTAGAAATGTTGGAGCGGATATGCAAACGAATTGCCCAACGTAGTTTCCGGGATAGTGTTACAGTCGTAGGGCACATTCAAATTGGGAATCTAAAGGATAATGTTCTCTGTCGATGCAACTTCACGAATGTACCCCTGCTAGAAAAGACAGAATACCTATACGATTATGTGCACGAGAACAGCATATATTTAAGTATACCCTTACCAGGCCTAAAGGAGTTATTTTGTGAGGCACCAACAACATTCTGTTTCTTTTCAACGGCATATATTATCGGCAGATTGGAGGGGTAGAACAGGGGTCCCAACTCCGCCCAGTGCTGGCAGATATTTTTTTACCAAACTAGAAACTGAATCACTAAATCGAACATTATGACCACTACATGCATGACATATTTTATGTTACCAATAGAGATATGACTGGTGGATATATTGATAGAGGTTAATGGTGCGCACTGGGCGATTAAGTCCAACTACGAACTTGAACAAGCTGCTAAACCCTCGCTTCCTTAAGTACATCTTAGCAAGCAATGGGATGATTCCATGTTAAGGGAGACCAACAGATAGCAGATGTGGACCGGTCAGCAGACAAACTTCAGTAGTTGTGTACGGATGAAGTATAAGCGCAACATAGTACATAGTCGCACCTCATGAGCGGGAAAGATATGCGCAGAGGAGGCTCTGGAGTATGAGATGGGATTCATTTAGAACACGTTACACTAAAATGATTAAGCGGAAAGATTCATTCGGCGCACCATGCAGTCTAAAATAACACCGATTGTTGAGAGGGTAGTCGAAAAGCCCTCTTCATCCAGTTTCTTTCTAAAAGTGATGTATTTGCAGAGCTTTCAACAAGAAAATTGACACTATTGATAAGGAACAGCTTTCCCACTGCGGAATTGCGATGTATGTTTCCACAACGAAGACACACTGCCGAAGCTTACCTCTTCTCACGTGGTTTATCGATTTGAAGGCACCAATGATGAAACCTATGTTAGTCGAACGGCTCGTGATTTGTTGCGTCGTACTAAGGAACATAGCACCAAATCGTTGGTGAACGGAAGCACCGGAGTTCTCCCAAGCTGCATTTTGTCCCACCTGTTCAAATCAGGTCACCGGCTTAGCATGCCGAATGCTTTTACTGTGATTTATCAAGTTCCAATAGGCAAATCCAAATGTTCGCGGTTAAGAACGCTCGTCATTGCAGAGGCTGTTGCGATCCACAAATTCCAACCCCTACTGTGCTAGCGAAAACAGTTTTTCACTCTCAATAACTGCCCTGGTCGAACAGCCATCAGTCTAGCCGTCACCCTGACATCGGCTCAGGCATTGTGGTTACGTAACCTCCAATCGATCGGTGTGAATGAGACGGCGGCGAACTATTCGTTGTCTAACCATTGACAGATTTAGTTCGGAATAAACCTCCGAACCTATCGCTATCCATCCTTCTGTATCTTAGCGTTAAATGATAGATACCGGTATGTAGATGAATCATTGAAAATAATTGTTTGCATCAGACTGGTGTTCTTGATAAAGCATGATCAAATGCTTTATCTTCCTTCCAATTTATCGTGTTTGTGGTATATAATTCACTGGGCCCATCACTTTCCAAGCAGACAGAACAGTAACTAAACCACCCACTTTATCGGAATTCGTCGGCTTAATAATTTAATGCAGTGACTTCACTTCGGCTCCCTACAAATTCACCGTAAGACACGAAAGCTGGTTAGTACATACATTTCGATGCGTTTACACACTGACATTAACAATGAGCGACGTGAATGATTACGATCATACAAATCTCGAGGTGTAACGTGTGTCGAATTTCAGTAACTGGTCACAACAGCCTTTGTGCGATGAACAACTGCGTTATACATACAACTGATTCCAGATTTAACCAGTAGCTCTAAAGAACGATGTTATACGAGGTTGATCCAGCCCGTAGGATTAAATCAATTTGTGTGTGATTCGGAGTCAGCCATATTGGCAGACTTGTTAGTACTCAGAATTCCCGAACAATGGAATGCGTGCCAAATGGGTTCATCGTGAAAGTGCCTAACATCCCTGCTCATCGCTCTCTCAATAGACAGACACCAGATGGCAAAAGACCATCGGACAGAGCTAGAATTAGCTTTCAAATTTGTGTCCCGCCACCGTAAACATTGCTTTGGTCCTTTCGCTGAGGCTGTCAAGAAATGCCGGACAAAGGCATCTGTACCTATTAAAATACAAGTGTTTGTTAACCTTACGCGAACACGAATAGAGGAGCTGACATTCCGTCGTTCATATTACACTGCAGGCTTGGTTAACCACACGGACTGTTACATGAGTATACGTGTGATTTATGATATTGATATATATATATATATATATATATATATATAGCATTGAGTAGCGAAAATTAAAGTGTCCAATTGACCATAAGGAATGTTTTTGGTTCACTCAGCTGTCGAATCCTTGCATTGTAGTAGGCGATCGCGATTTGTCTCAGCCACCTTCCGTTGTATGTAATTGTTAATAAAATCGAGAGGAGACTACGAAACGCAAGTAGCTACAAGCTTTCATCGTCCTATTGTTCTCGCTAGACACTTTAATACCTGCTGATGAGATTAGATAACAACGTAGGGAACCGATAAAAGTAGCGCATTTGGGTATCCAAAAGGGCAACCGGATTCTGTTGTTTCAGGAGGTGGCGTCGCACGATCAAGCCTAGAAGCAGACACCACTGACATTGGTGTGGGAGATAAGCAGTAGCCTCAGTTATCTGCTGTTCGACGCGAAATCTTTTTGACGTTCAAGCACTATTTAAGTGCCTGGGGGCTGGGGGCCTGGTTGAAATCTCGGTACTTTGCTACTACAAAAATCGAAAGGCCCCGTGATTGTTTTCGGCTTGAGTTGAAGTGTTTCTTAGCTTAGTGCCAAGACGCTATCAGTTGAACGAACTCGGCGCATGTTGTCACAGTGTGTATAGCACGTATGTGTGTGTGTGTGTGTGTGTTGGCTTAGCTAGACTGACAAGAAGGATGTCACACCTTTTGTTGCACCCCCATCAGGGGGGTGCAAGCATGCGAGATACTTGTGCACCTTGGTTGTACGGATATCAGTGGGGTCCTTTGTCACTCACCAATTGGCTCGAGTGTGTGTCGGAGGCACACACACACCGTAGGACAACCAAGCTGAAAACTAAGAGCCAACTTGGAAGTGAACGTTCGAGGTGAAAGTTTGCAGTACAAATGTGCGTAAATTGCGAATGACACGGTGCTTAGGTTGCGTAAAGCGCTTATTTCATATGTGAACTTTGACCGATACCCGAGGGATGTTCCGCTAAACTGCGAAATTCGAGAAGTGTTTCAGTAAAATAAAAAAAATGCAGAAACATCTGCTAGGGTTTATCTACTTGCTCCTTAACTCAATGTGGTTCTTATCAAGTGCAAGTTCGATCAGCTACCCCCCGCAACCAATGGCCATTATCACCACAAGGAATAACCCTCACCCATCTGGACGACTGATCACCACAGACGCCGACTACTCTCGCAAGGTGAACGTACGTGTCAGTGATATCCTGACTCGACAACGAGCCGCCGAAGAGGCGTCCAATCGATTCAGTCCTCAAACTTCACTCATCCGCTCCTATGGACGTCCAGTCACTGCTATGGGAACTGTTATCAGTAATTCCGTTTCTCCCAAGGCCAACATTGTGGTGCAACCACAGCACACTCCGCCATCCACCGCGCTGGTTTTACCATTGGCCAACTCTCATAGCGTGATAAAAGAAGACCGGTCGTGGCCTCCAGAGCACTCACAAGAATTTGCCAGGGTGGACGTTCGTGTGATGGGGGAGAAAATCGACAGTGAGGCGCTACTGCATTTGAAGCCAAACTCGAACGTAGAAGCTGTGCGAAAACTTCGCAAGATATTGGGTGCAGAGCTGCAGGCCGAATGGATGTCGATTGACCCACCACCGAAAGATTCCTGGAAGTCCGCCAGGTCTACTGTTATCATGAGCATGCCCAAACCCGATATGCGCCTTTTGACCGCAGTGGAAAACCTGAACTTTACAGTGCTGCGACAAGTAAAAGGAACAGATGTGATTCCTATCAAATTGACACCGGAGCAGATAGATTTGTTGAAAGACTGGCTGATCCAACGTGCAACATGCCAAATGGATTACATATGGGAAGACTTGGGCCCGCTCTTTTGGCCTCGCTGGATCCGCAGGGGTGTTTGCGTGAACACAGTGGCGTGTTCGTGGCCTCCTGGAATGCGTTGCCGTCAAAGCAGTTCGAGGTCACTGAAGCTGCTTCGTTGGGTAAGACCTATTATCTATCTATTATCTATCTTGCACTAATCACTGATAGGTGTTTTGTTAGTACTTGCTTCTGAGCACTCGTAACACTAGTCAGACTAGAAGCCAATCATTTGGTGGCAGTTCCCGGATGATGATGCTTCTCTTGCGCCGAAGGGAAGCGGTACCCAGAGGACAAAATAACTAGTTCTTTCTGGTGGTATCGAAAAGCTGTCACCGTTTCGTTTGACGTGCATACATCCAATCTGAACCAACGGTTCCCAAGTTTGGAGATTCGTGATGTAGTGACCCAGTTGCTTGGATCGAGTTCCCAGGTTAGGTATTTATTCTGCACCACCATCCTATTACAGTTCAAGTGTTACGTCCTGTGGTTACATAACAACGAAGCACCAGTCAAAGTGCTAGTTGCTGTTGATACAATTTCCGCCCAGTTCTCCATGCATAAGCGAAGGTTCGAATTGATGCAGTTAAAAGTAGGTTTTGTTGAGCACCGGATGCGACGAATTTTATATTACAAGAAACAGGAAAGGTGAATGAACGCAAGTGGCCATCTGGTGCCTCCACTCACAACGTACCCGTTTTGTTCAACCGCGCTGCATTCACAACCCAAGTTGAGGGTCCCCGTACACCGTGTATTACAACGAGCTCAGGTAGCAATGATTTGTAGATGGTCGAAGGACCGAAAAGCATCAAGTAAACTCCTAGACGGTTCGGTCGTCCCTAATGGGAATATCAACGCCCGGTGAAGAGCCTGCAACCTTGAAGTAATCCTTAAATGCAGAGTTAACAACGATATTTACGCCACTATTTCTTGACTTATTTATATTCCGGTAGTAACCGTTATATCACGGACGTAGCTTTTGCTCCTCTTTGCATCTTCTTGTCGTACTGGTTAGCAACTAGCTATTCGCACCATAAAGAAGACTGGTAGCAAGAAACATATAGGAAGGGGTTCATTGACCTCTCGGTGGCAGTTGCATAAGCCACTGATGGCAGTCTGAGCAGATCGAGATTGAAAGCTTGAAAGGGATCAAGTACTTCCGCATGACTCTCGTCGAGGGAAATGCCGTTCAGCGCTTTTACGGACTTCAGTCGCCGCGTGATAGTCGTGAGCTGACTGAAGTTTCGGATGAATTTCTGTTCATTAGCCTGTTTGATCCGGATTACACTAGACGGAAAGAATTGTTTAGCCCAACGTATTCTTTCGGTCACTATCTTCATTCTAATGTGCAGCGCAATAACGATTAGCGGCATCGTGAAGCTTAATGTTCACTGCTAGCGTGCTCGTGTTAAAATTCAAACACTTGATTTAACCAACTGGTTAACTGCGGTTGATTTATCTCTCCGATTGGAATTCGTCTCAGAATCGAAAGAACTGACCGAGCACAATGTGTCGTAAACAGGATGATAGTGCGGAGGTCGAACTATACACCAGATGAGAGGTCACTGATGCCAAATAACCGGTCATGTGCTTTTTAATTCGCCGTAACATCGATAGCTGTGCGGTATTCTGAGTTAAAGCACATTTCATAGCAGCACATAGGTTCCAGTATAACTCTATTAAATAGACTGTGATAGAACTACGAACTCTGCATACGTCGTTCATTCTAACAGTTCGGAAGCGGGAAATAGACCTTTGGTTAAATAAGCCGTTGTTCACTATTACATCACTTTATTTGAGTGGAGCTCTATGTTATGGACGAAGTTCAGCCAGTAACTTAGGTGCTTACGATGTAAAAGTAGAACAGCATCCAGACAGAGTGAACGTAAGCAATACTGAACTTCATGACTGATCCAAGAAAACTACCTAAGTCGGTTGCATATCGCGGTGGGTAGACCACGGTTCCTGTGACGCATGCAGTAATGATTACGAAAGAGCTTTGAATGGTGTAAGCAGAAATACATCACGTCTGGACCCAGTCAGATGGCCAACACATGCCCGACGAAGTACGACAAGGCCGTTTCATCCTTTAGGGAATGGTCAGCAGTTCGTATTTCTATGGAGCTCGAACCAGCTGCTGGGAACGGTAACAACATTCGCGAGTAAGTCACTGGTAATTTCCATCGGTTTTGAGGATGACAACGAAGCAAGCGAGAAATAGAGCTCGGGATACGAACATTCAGCTACTGCAATGCGTTGTGTTACATCTCAACCAGATAATATCCCAGGAATATTTCTTCTGCTTACCTATATGGTGAACTTTGTCATATCGCAAAAAAATGACACTGCAAGGCATAATCAAGTGCTTGCCATTTGTCGCATCTCACCGTCTCGGCTCGGATGATTTGAGGGAAACTATAACATAAGGAACCCAATCTTCGCTGTTAATTCCCCTAAAATATGCTTTTCTTAGTCAAACTCATTATACTGACTTTTATAATCAGAAACTCATGCCATTGCTAAAGTAAACCTAATGTCTTGGCGTTGTTACTAATTCTTTCATCCATGGGTATGAAGCCGTTTCTACTGAGTGTTCCAGCGGTAATACGACGCAGTAATAATGAACCGACGGTTGTTTCAATGTGGTGTTAAAGCACGTTTCCATCTGGTTACCCACTAAACAGAAACATTTACGCTTACTCGAAAAGATCTACTATATGTCACCATACATCAGTCATGCGGAAGTAAGTAGATAAGCTCTGACAGCAGGTTCATTGCATGATAAAGTGAAAAGCGTTTTGGTGCACTCACCGTGGGCTTATGTAGAATAGCAGTGCTGTTCGTGTATTAAAAGTATAAATCCATTGGTTGACAAGACACTGTTTGATTGCGTTTTGTATCCACATGGATAACAAGTTATAAAAGGAAATGCAAATGTGACGACGCAACGTCAACTCGTTTTTTAACTATCGCCAGATTGGTAGCAGTGAGGACATAATTAGAGAGGGCTTTTCAAGGCTGACAAATGCAGAAGGAAAGCAATTTCTACGGCATTCAAGCCGGCTATACTGTATTGTCAGTTTCAGAGGACGACCTCTCTGGTTGGTGTTGTGGTTCAGTTCCAGTAACGGACGGAAAGTGTGCTTTGCGTTATTCAGAATATGATAGACTATTATGAGATCCCACCGCAAACGCCGACATTGACTGCTGTACTTTCTTAATTATTTCAGTCTAGGCTGATAGTTCATATGATAGAGGCCCCTGATGTTCTTGGTTGCTCTTCGTTGAGGAGTTTCGAGAGCAACGAGATCCTGTTTCTTCCACGGCGGCCACGCCCGGATAACATATTTCACGTGCAGTCGCAAGTAGGTGTGAAGCGTTTTGGAAACATTGAGAGTTCAAACCGACAGAACGCTCTGTGAGGAAGCCCGGGTGCTGATTGCTAGTTTTCACCGCCTTCTCTGATTGTTTCGGACACCCGAGATTTTCCTGTACCAGTACACCAAAGTCACGCACCTGAGAGACCTTCTTCAAGATTTTATGTCCAAGCTTGTAAGCGGTCACCGGCTAGGGACACAGATGGATCACTTTGCACTTAACTATGTTGAACTGAAGCAAGTTCCTCGTTGACCATTCATAAATGCAACCTATGTCATGTTGGGGTAGATGGTGATCTTCACTGTTGCTAATCGTCCGCAGTATCTTGACATCATTGGAGAAAAGCAGGAAATTTGAAATGGGAACTCTTGCCAAATCGTTGATAAACACTAGGAATAAGCGCGGACCAAGCACGGAGCCATGTGGGACACTACATTTCGCCCCAGTCAGGTTAGAGAGTTATCTACTACAACGCAAGTGCTTGGCTGTTGTTTGACATCCTCGGTATGGCTGTTCTTGATGTGCATGTTGACAAGGTACCTATCTATCGATTACCCACTTCCTCGCCCATACTGGCTCCAGGAGACAGTTGGTCGTTGCTGGAGGGGACGTGTGCACGGTCCTTGTGACCGTGCTAGGCTCGAAGAGTGGTTCCATGCACTCAGTGTGGAGCGGACTACGGTTCAGCCACCGTTTTGCGTGCGCTTGATTCCCCAAATACTGCGTGCTTGTGTTTGTCTGTGAAGGAGTGTGGGCCGGCTCCGTTGATGAAATGTGGCTCCAATCCACATGCCTCCCGGTCTTAATCCTTCGGGTTTACACTGGATATGGGGTGTGTGAATGGAGCTGTGGGTGGCGCAGCGCAAGCCACCGGTGGTCCCTCTGTAGGCGCAGGCGTCCCGTGGCTGGCCACAGTGACAGGTAAATCCGAAACCGGATACCGCTAACTATATTCAACACGGCCAATGGTCTAGTTGTCGCAGTGCCACAAGGTATGGCAAATACACTAAACAAGCGAAGAGAAAGAAAAGGAATATAAATCAGTGTTCATGGGAAAAGCTTGTCACAAAGAGGCCGTTATTGCACATGGTTTCTTGTTATATCCGAGATGGCTTCCAGCCATACCTGTTCTCGATCTTTGCGCCCCCAGACAGGGAGTCGACGGCGCTCGGCCACGGCTAACTTCGAGGCTGGCTCATTCATGCTTCTGGACCAGATCATATGTTGGCCAGTTTGCTTTCGTTTCCAAAGTACTTCTGCGTGCACAAAGTGGGCATGGCGAGGTAAAATATGAGTAGTTATGCGAAACATTTGTCTAAACCACTGAAGTTTGCACAGTTAACCTATGCTTCTTAGTGGTCAGCAAAGTCTATCTGATCTGAAAATCCTCCGTCGGCATCCTGCTTATCGGTGTGTAGCTGGCATGGTACCAGTAATGCTCCGAAGGCAGCTGTGGTCAAATACAGTTGGCCTCCCTACATCCGTTACGTGAAGAGGCCAACTTATGCATCCATATTGAAGGACCGCTCTCACCATGAGATTGTAAACTCTGCCCTGCAGATACAAACTCGGATGGCGGAGGTTAGAAAAAGCAACCTGAAACTTGGAGACGTGCAGTGACATCATTCGTTAAGCCATTGGCGCTGATGCAGCTTCCGAGGCAAACGATCATTTCTAATATTCCCAAACAATGACATGAAAGTGCAAGCATAGTATCAGTACCTAGCCAGCCTTACAGAAAGAC